GAATGTCAATAGAAAACTAGAAGAAAGTCTCTCCTTTAAAAAGGAACATCATGATGGTAGAAGTCACTATTGGGCTTGTTAGGAAAAATAGGTGGGCCTCAAGTTAGTTCAATTTTTTTTCACTAATTTCTATTAATTTCGGATCGAATTATCAGATCGGATATCCGATAACATTGCAAATCGGATATGGATTTAGCAATTAAATATCCGTTGGATTATCGAATCGGATCGGATCAGATAAATTTTTTTATCGAATCGGATTGGATCAGATAAATCCGATCCATATCCGAGCCATTTACAGCCCTAGGAAAATGGCATCCAAGACAACTTTACTTTGAAACCAATGAAATCACTAAGAAAAGTGCACAACAAAGATGAACAATATAATTTGAACAAAAAATGAGACACGGTTTCACTGCAATTTTCTCCACAAACGTAAAATTGGCCCATTGAAAGTCCATCATGGTGATCGCAACATCGAAAAATCAAATGGTCATCACCTCTCAAGCTAAAAGAGAGTGAAGAACGATAAATCATCACAGTCAAAATGATGATAGCAAGTTAGTTTAGTGTAATACAATGAAGTAGGGATCCAGTATCACCTAAAATGGTGATAAATAGCATTGCTATATGACTTGAGGATAATAACTCTAGCTTAATCATAATTCTAGAAGAAACCATCACTCGGAAGTTAGAATGGGAATCACTAGTTTATTGAAATATTAGAAATAAAAATGTCAGGAAAAATAGGTTGTGGACAAAAATGTAAAAATGGTTAAATATCAAGGGCAACAATCACTATTTATTAAAGCTTGACACTAAGTTGAAGATTTGTTTGTTCAATAACGAAATGGTATTCAACAGTAATGATAATTGATGCTACCAAAAACTTGCACTTGAAAGAACTCGAACTGGATGATTGGACTCCGCACAATCTGGTTTTCAATACCTGAAACAAATGCATCTAGGTGTGTCATCGTAGCTCCTTCGATACTTAATTCAAAAAGAGGAATTGTGCAAAAGATTGTATGCTTGAATATTAATGAAAAACGTACCTGAATAATGAAGCTGAGTTATGTATTTATAGATGTTGGAGATGGAGTCCCAAAAGGATTCAATTTCCTATAGTCCTTATCCTTATTATACAAAGTATTTATGTTATGTTAGAAGTGCACAATTTG